GTTTTTTTTTTTTTTTTTTTTTTTTTTTTTTTTTTTTTGGTACTGGTCATTGAACTCGGGTCCTTACGCTTGTGAAGCAGGCGGTGGAACCACTGAGCTAAATCCTTGGCCCAGGTATTGTTTATTCTCTTAAATGTCAGAATTAAGTTTTTCTTTATTCCTAAAATAAATCCAAATTTTTATACACTATAGTCCTGAATTCAAGATATCTGTAATAAATATTTTTGTGGTTTACTGTTTATTATGAATAGAGTAATAATAATGTTCAATACACTGATCTGTATGACTAAAAACATTTTAACAGCATTTTCTCCAACTTTATTTTATTTAAGAAATGTATGTATTTCCTAAAATACAGATGTTGGGGGGGGTTGCATTTTGTTATTTTTTGAGACAGGGTCTTACCATGTAGTTCCTATCTCTCCAGAAGCTAATCTTACCTTTCAATTTTACTAGTGTCTAAGATATTTAGGTGACTACATTTGAGTCACAATTTCAGGAAAATAGGTCATTTTGGATTTATTGGTCAGTGATCAATTTATTATTTTAGATAATGTTTGATATTTGATAATGGGATTTTCTATTTTGTTACTTTTTAGTGTTGTTTTTAATGTTCGCTTGTATTTCTGAAGTTGGCAAATGGGCTGTTTGTAAGATTACCATAAAAATATAAAATATAAGGGTCGGGGATTTAACTCAGTGGTTCTGCTGCCTGCCTTGCAAGTGCGAGGACCAAGCAAGCACAAGTTTAATCTACAGTACCCCCCCAAAATAAAAAATATAAGATAAACTGTAAGATCTTTAAATGCCACAGGGATTTTTATGTCATAGTTAAAAATAGGTATTTTTTCATTATCTTAAGAGGTAGTTTGAGATGGTGAATGGTAACAGTAGCTGCAGAAATAGGTTTAAGTTATAAGTCATTTTAAATAGATATAATGCATAAAATTTGAGATGACATAAAATGTGGAGATGATACAAAATGTAAGGGAGAAAGATAATTCAAGAATTGCTCCCAGGTGGGCATAGTGGCACTGGGAGGCTGAGGCAGGACGACTGCAAGATCGAGTCTAGTCTGGGCAATGTAGCAACTTAACAAGACCCTGACTTGTTTAAAAATAAAAAAGAGCTGGGGTTATTGCTTTGTGTAAGAACCCTGAGTTCATTTGGGGAATCACTGTCAGGTTTCTGGCTTATAGGACTTTGTGAATTATAAGTGAAAGTTGTAGAAGTCAAATGAGTTAAAGCGAAGGATAAGAGTAAAAGTCGATTTGGAGAGACACTCGTGACTCTAGATACATACTTGAGAATCTTCAGTATTGTAGGTTAAGTGAAAATAGGTGAGACAGAACATGTATGATGGAAAGAGGAGAGAGAGAGCTAACAGGAAATAGAAATGTTTGAGGAAAAGACCTAGAGGAAGAGCCAACAAAGCAGTAACTAGAGAAGGCAGTAAGTAGTTTCGGAGCAGGCTAACAGAGGAGGGAAGAAGTTAGACATTTGGCAGATGCCAAGCAATCTTCATATAAGTTGTGTACTGAAAATAGTCACTTGGATTTGCCAGTTGGGAATTTGTTGGAATCCTTGCCAGAAAAACTTCAGTGATGTAGCAGGAACATAAGCCAGATGACAGGGATCGAGGAGTGAGAAGGATAAAGTAGAGACAGATATAGTCACTTTTCCCTGAAAAAGTTTAACTTTGAAGAATACAAGAGATAAAGACTTGGCTGGGTCTAGGGAACATTCCTTTTCTTAAACTGATGGGAGCCTCCTATCAGAAGATCTTTTGTATTTTGTATCTTTTGGATTTCTTGGGAAGATTGGGGATTATTCCTGAAATAATGGTACTTTTAAAATGTAGTAAATTAGGGAATAAAAAAACATTTCTTTTTAAAATCTTATTTAGTTTATTGGTACCTTTTTTTGGGGTGGGGGAGTTTTGAGACAGATTCTCACTAGTAGTTGAGACTGACCTGGAACTCACTATGTAGCCCAGGCTGGTCTTGAACTCAAAGCGATCCTCCTGCCTCAGCCTCCTGAGTGCTGGGATTACAGATGTGCGCCACCGTGCCTGGCTTGTTACTTTTTAAGTATACAGTACAGTTGCAGTCTTCATTGGGATCTTGTACCCTAAATGACAGATTTTGATTCTCATTTTTTCCCCATACCCTGCCCTCCCTTCACCTCCACCCTCCTCTATTTATAAAAACTTTGTTAAACAACCATTTCTTTGTGGCTTGGAGTTCTAAAACATTTCAGTTCTCTTTAGTCCAAAATAATTTTTCTAGTGTATTAGGCCTTTTAAAGCAAATGTTGGAGCTCTAGAACATTTCAGTGCTTTTCATTCTGAAATTATTTATCTAATGCTTTAAATGTCAGGAGTTTGAAAAGACAGGATCTCACTATGTAGTTTAGGTTGGCCTTGAACGTGGGGTCTTTCTGCTTTAGCTCTCCTGAGTACTAGGTTTATGGTATGCTACCCATCTGAAGAATATTTTTGTTTCATTTTAATTGATTTTTAGAATACATTCCAGGTATTTTGTCATTTCACCTGTGAACACCAAAGTCCAGTAAGGGTATATGCTGCCAAAGTGAGCACCTGAAGACCAGTAAGGATCATGGTATTGCACTGCTATAGATTTTTTTAAGTGGTCCCACATCAAGATCCGAAATGAAGTAAAAACTGAATCTTTAAACTGGTAGAGGGATTCCTCACTCAGCAATGGATTTATCAGAGTATCCTTAAAGTGTGGTACAACTCACAAAAGAAGCAAATTTACATGTGATTTTTCAGGAATGCACAGTATGGCCCATCGTGGTGGCAGACACCTGTAATCCTAGCACTCTGTGAAGTGGAGCCAGGAGGGTCACAAGTTTTAGTATAGCCTGAGCAACTTCGTGATTTAGTGAAACTCTCTCTCAAAAAACAATTTTTTTAAAGGGCTGGGGATTTATTTAGCTCCATGTATTTAGCCCCTGGGTACTACAAAACGAACAAAAACAGAAGATGACCCTGTAATCTGAGATGTATTCAGAAAGTTGTATTCTAAAGAACCTCAAATACTATAAAATACATTGTGAAACCTTTCTCCCATGTTTCCCATTTCTCTGCATTCATTGCTACTTTTCTTTAATCTGCACTACTGTAAGAACCCAACTGTCTTCCTTGCCCTAGTATTTCCATGTTCCAGGTTATCTTCTGTGGCCACAGAATTCATTTTGTAAACACAAGTGGAATAATCATGTTATAACCTCACTTTTAAAATACTTGGCTAATTTCAAAGTTACCCTTTGGCAACTGCCCCCGTATATTTGGATATTAAACATACTTGTGTTATATATTGTGCATTCTTTTCCCACTTCTGTGATATTCCTGAGAGAAATATGTTCTTCATCTATCCATTTATCTGGCTATAGAACTAATGTCTTTTGAAGACTTGGCTAAAAATCTCATGTGTTACCTTCTTTTCAGTGGTTGTATTTGACACTACTTTTGGTAGAATTAGATAATCCTTAACCACGCTCCTATAACACTTATTATAATTGTTACTGCAGTGTTCTTTATTTACATTCTGTCTCGGTGGCATCTTCTTGATTCTATCCTCATCTAACTGTGTGTAGTAGTTTATTACCAGCAGCCAGCTACCTGCCACATCATAATAATTTGGTTATTATTCATTAATATTTTTAATGAAAATGTGATTATGATTAATAAGCTTTAAAAATAAGAATGACATTTTTTTAGTTTATTAAAGCCTTTTTCTCTTTTGAGTCAGGAGTCTTACTATGAGTAAGGCTGGTCTTGAATTTAATAGGCTCCAGTGCTCCTCCTATTTCAGCCTCCAGAGGACCTGGAACTGTAATAGTACACCACCACACCTGGCTTACTAAAAACTTTTTTGTTAAATGTATCCACTGAGGCCAATTGAAGAATCTAGCTATGTGTTAAACACAGAACTGTTAAGATATGAGATCTGATTATTTATCCTGTAGTCAGAATGAGACAGAAAAAGAATAACAAACAAGAAAGTTTGGTAAGCTGAAGTGTTAAAACAACGGGAAACAATATGAGTAAGAAAGTATTTTAGCATATTCCAAAGGAGTGTTAGGAAGCTTGAGTAGGGCTTTGTGAGGAAAATACTTTTTAGTGAATTTAACATGTCAGTAGGAAGACCTGACTTAACTGACCATAGCTTCTAATAAAGACAGTGGCTCTTTACATATTTAGTTCTTGCCTGATTTTGTATGGATGTTATTTTATAATGTCACTATTTTTTATTTTTATTTTGTAAATTCTGTTGCAGTTTTTTCTGAGACCACTAGAATGCACTATAATGCAGTATGTTTGAAATTTTTTATTTATATTTAAATAAACTTCATAAAATTTTATTGCCATTCTTATTTTAAAGCTAAATTTTACCTTTTGATAATGAACATTATACAAATATATTGAAATAGAATCAGGAAGATTTAGTCTGGTGATGAAACCTTTATGATTTAGAGAGATCAGAAATAAAGGAAAATATGTCCTAATTTGGACCAAATATATTTTCTAAAATTTAAAAAAAAGAAATGGATACGTATAGTTAATTAACCAGTAACAACCCCAAAAAAGTTTCTCTTCTGCCTCACTTCA